CGAAACAAATTACTTAGCATACTTGTGCATGGCAAGGATAAGTTCGTAACTCGAATTCTTCTTTGGCCATAAACAGTGGTGTAAAGAAGCGCACACTGGAAATTGAAAGGCAAGACAGTTCAGAAACTAATCCTCATCTTCTCAACAGTAATTTAGTAACATGCAACATAAGAAATATGTGAATTAAACAGAAAAAAGATTTAAAGGACTCCAATCCAGTTGGTACCTGAAAAGCACATTCTGAGCCATCTTGCATTTTATCATCATGCTTTAAGGTTACCAATATGGATTTGTCACAATCAATCTGTACACTAGAAAGGATTAGTCAAAATTGAAACCATGTCATGTCCCCCAAAGCCTAATACTTAACATTTCAACATACATTGTCAGACATGAACATCAAATCATGTCAATTCTTTTCATGAAAGAAAAATGAACTACCAGTTAAGGTTGCGAGCTGCCAAACCCATTGATTGCACAAATTATCTCAGACAAGATCATCTAAATCACAGACAATGCAGGGGACAAATATCTATCATGATCCTTGGAAAAACCAAATGGAGTCAGATTTCCCCCTTCCTCCAATTAAACAAATCACCCACAGGCCATAATCATGCATCTCTCATTCACCATAAATCTCCTCTGCTTGTTCAGTAATATAAGATAGACCAAAGCCTTTTGTCCAAATGATCATAAGTTCATCAGTGTGATTTCCAGAATTTCATTGTCTAGCAGAATATAATCTATATTTTTGTAATAGATGATTTCTCATATTTATTTGCAAGTTGTAATAATTTCCTGGTTTTTACCAGACAAGGAGAACCTTATCCACAAGATACTTGGCCAGCATATCCATTATGTCAGTGTTAATGGGTCAGAATTGTATGTACTATTTAGTTGGGCAGTGGAGTTTTGAAAAAGAACAACCAGCGTTCCTAAGTTCTAATTCAAATGTTTCAACCAAGTTTAAGTAATAACGTTGTCCGTGTAAATTGTCGAAAGATCAGATTATTTAATAGGAAAATCTAGAATTAGGCATTATTACGAAAAAGGAAAAGTATACAAACCCCTGGAAGGTCAATGTCAGTTGGAATGCGCTTGCAAAAGTTTCCAGAGTACTCTTGGACTTGGATACCCTACGAGGATCATAACAAACATACGAAGGTTAAATTGTAATGAGAGAGGTTCAGTTTCCACAAGGTCAATTGTCAATGTGGCATTAATGAAACTGCTCAATGTTATTAGCCAGCATCACTTACTTGGCTGCATCTTACACGCATGACAGCCTCAAAACCTTGGGGCCGTGTAACATTCCATCTGAGATCGTTGTAAAGTTTTGCAGGATCAGATAGAGCTGAGAACGGATAATAGTAATAAACCTGGAGGGGACAGTATATACATTGAAAACTGAGTATCAAATCAGGAAGCAAAACCTTCACTACATAATCTCCAAATAATTGTTGTATTGGATTGGTACCAAAGTTTCATATCTTCGTATCATGTGTTCTGAGATATTTACAATTAACTCATGAACTCAGATGCAAGAGATGATGTGAACAGTTAGAATGTATGATAAAGATTGTGTGTGTGTGTGTGTGTGTGTGTGTGTGGAAAGGTGCCAATCTACCTTACCTCCTAAAAATTAGGACGAAAATCATTCCAAAACTACATTTTTTCAATAAACTCTCATTGAAAAAGACTAAAATACCCTATTTCTAAATCATGAATTAGGTTGCTTTTGGTCTTTACTTGTGTTGTTTTATTAAAACGACATAGTTTTAGAATAGTTTTCCTCCTAATTTTTAAGAGGTAGGGCAAATAAGCACTAATCCTATATATATATATATATATATATATGAGATAACATAGGGAAGAGTTTCCTTAAGGGTATTTTAGTAAATTTATAAGTCAGACAGTGTGTGTATATATATCAAATTCATTGCTTACAAATAAAAAATTTCATTAACCTAGCTTACTCTACTTGAATTAAAACTGTTCAGCACTGTAAACAAGAATGCATGGTAAAAAAAAAAAAAATTGAAGATTACCCTTCAGCTACATACAAAAGGGGAAAGCAGCTTACACATTCTATATCAACTCTTTTACTATTAATTTTTTTTTTCTTTTATCAGTCATAGTTGGCAAGAAGAACCAAAATGTCATAAATCAAATAGTCCAATGAGGGCACTAGGAAATGGAAATACAAACATTAACCATCAAAAAGTTTTCTCACCACAGGGAATTCTTTGAATGGATCACTTAAAATATTATAACCAGCTTGTTTCTTAATTTCCACCAGAGTAAAAAATCAGTGCTTCAAAGGTTTCATATCAACTATCAACGAATAAAAACAAAAGCAATTTTATAAACACTAATATAAACATTAATTACTACCTGGCCTCCTGTCGTCCTTGGGATAACAGAGACAGAAGCAATGTCTATGTAAGTCTGGGTGGTGATAAATATGTCAACACAGACCTGGAACATGTCAATCAGTTAGAGTTTGCTTAGATACATAGCAGCAACAAGCTGAGGTGACCCAAAACACTCAACCAGCAGACATGCAGACATATTTTGGATCACTGATAACCACATTAATGAGAAAGAGATGAGTAGATGCTTTACCTGATACTCGGCAAACTCAATTGCCATTGTCTTTAAAGTTTTGTCCACCGGCTGAAGTAATTTATGGGCCTCCTAAAATTAAATCAAACAAAATTTTCAATGAAAGCCTGACCTATCTGTGATTGACATGGAGATTTCCACATACCAATAAAAAAAAAAAAAAAGAGACCCAGAGTGGCTCAGTGGGTCTATCATAAGAAAGACAGCAAAATAGACTGTTATAACAAAAAAGTCACTTGACAGATGCATATGGTCGTGTAATGCCCAACAGCAAGGAACCCAAATGCACAATACATTACTGCCAAATGATGCTGAACTACCAATTATATAAAGGAATCATATAACATAGATTAACATAATGA